CCATATTGTATATTCTAATATAATATAATATACAATATAATTTAATAATTTTATAAAATAACTAAGAACAAACGGACAAGAAAATATCTTTTTCAAAGCGAATTATGCACCAATCATTGTGCCAATTCCCAGTTGCCTGTTTGTTCTTAGTTATTTTATAGTTTATTATTTAGGGAATACCAATATTGTTATTTTTAATAATTTTAATTCTGCATCAAAGATGCTAGAGTGGAAGGATTATTTCGACGAGCAGGACGTCGTGAGGTTCGACGATATATTCTGAATTCTCTAAAGAAAGGCCATAAACCGCATTTTGAAAATTCAAATAATGTTGCTCTGGAATGTGCGGCAGCTTTACAAATTTTTCTCAGCCGCTTAAAGAAACCAATTATGCCGCAACACGTGCAAGAATTGATTCTTGGTAAATATTAACAACGAAATAAGGAGTGAAAGTGATATATGTGTAAGATATATGTGTAAGAAAAGAAAACAACGAATATTTCGCTATAATTTAACTATAATTTATTTATCGTTTGAAAATGACGATATGTATAAAATGAAACGTTCATCGAATAGCGTTTACAAATTCAGCGTCAGCAGAATGTCAGTTCTGGTGAATTACGCCAGTTATTACGGTATCGTCAAATCTAAAATTAAAATTTTGATGACAAATGAGTCTTTGATGATTTGTAATTTTTGATCTGTATACCTAATTAAGTATTAGTGTAATAGATTTTCAATTAACATTTCAGTTTTTAATATTCGATATTAATATTATTAAATATAATTTATTAATATTAATTATCATTTGTAATATTAAAGATATTTGGAGAATTTTGTATATTATGAATGTGTGTGTGGTATAAATATAAATTTTAATATTTATATATGATCAGCTGATAATCCAGGTGTAGAAGCACAAGTTATTGCACAAGATGCTCTAGGACTTATTAGACAGGATGTCGGTGGTCGTCATTGCGAGCTCTTGATTCATGTTTTGGATCTTTTAAGGCACTTAACTCTTTCAGGACCTCCTTCCGAATGTTCCGAATTGCGCGGATCTCCCTTACCTGTTGCACTTTTACCAGTGTTTTTTAATTTATCCGTAATAATATATTATTTATAATATCTCATTAGTCCATCAAATCAATTTATTTTATACAAAAATTTTTAGCGTTAAAGATCTTATACAATTCAATTTACTCTTTTTAACATTGAAAATTTTACTTAGATATTAAACTCTTAAATATTATTTTTTATTTTACATTGGCAAAGAAGGTAATTATGTATATTAGGAGCGAACTCACAGATTTCAATGACTTTGACATATGTTATCCTCCAATCAGGTTTAGCCATAGTTATTTGTTAAAAAGTTATGAATAAAATAAATTTAAGAAATAATGTATCCTTTTTCTACTACATAAAATAAAAATTCTCTATTTTAAAATAAATCTCTTCTGTCAAGAGGCGCACGATTTCCATACGAAGCGAGTTCCACCTCCCTGCGAAAGAGCGCGCGATTTTTCACGCGAAGCGAATTTCATCCCTCCGCATCCTCCCTGCCAAGTAGCCTTTCAAGTTTCCATCATGAAAGGAATAAAAATAGAATCACACGATGCTTGATTTCTTGAATGATAGCATGCATATAGCTATGCCTGTTCTGATATATGTTGGAATTCGTTCATGTATTAAGCGCTTCATGTACATACATGATTTTTATATTTATTATGGATTACTTCAGCTTATTTCCTTGCATACACCAATCAAAAGAAATAATTGCTAATTTCATAATTACTTGTCAAACGCCAGACTGTATGCATCAAAACAAGCATAACAGCATATGCATGCATCTTCTTCTTATTCTTTTTATTATTCCTCTGCTTGGTTTTCCGATCCAAGAAAAGGATCATAGTATCATGCGGTGAATTTGAATCTTAGATTCTGTGATAACCTCTGCGGGGGATGCATGCTTATCATTCAAGAAATTGAACATCGTGTGATTTCATCTTTACAGTGTGTGCAGTTGGATAGTGTCTCTTTTTGCATCTCAACCTTCTCTGTCTATGGACTATTTATAAGGAGGAAGCTACGAACTGTGAAATGCTGTGAAAAAACATGAGACGATATTCATAGTCATTTTTATTTTAAAACTGTTAAATATAATGTTTTAAGGTGCTAATACAGTCTTCAGATTGACTTACGACATTTTAAGATTGTACTTGCAATCCTTAAATCTCATGAACATCCATAGACAAAGAGGATGGAGATTTAGAGAGAGAGAACCGTCCAACTACAACACCATGCTATCTACCTGATATGTGAGTGGTGTGTGCAACTAAACTGAGTAAGTGCACTGCTTCCAAAATTTAAAAAAATTCGTGATTTTTTTATTATATAATTTTTATTATATAAATGCTGTCTAAATAAGTATGCATACTTTTAATGCTATAATATCTTATATATTGCCGAAAAATTATAATTTTTTCTCTACAATTATTATTTTTTCTCTACAATTATCTCTGTTGATAATCAAACTTGGATGATATTAAAATCACAGTTGAAAATCGAGTATTATTAAGTTTTAAACATATGTACATGTCTACGAAATTAATAAAAATCATGAAATCATTGTATAATTAGTTTCTTACTCTTAATCATTGAGTTTTAATAGGCACGCGAATTTCTCTAAGCGCCAACTGTCTTTAATAATATCTCGTTGATGCTCAGGATCATCTTGACAACATATATCAAGGTCATTAAAATCTGAGGTCACTCCTAATATGCATAATTACTCTGCTGAAAATTTTTTCAGAATTTTTCATATAATTTTTCAAAATTTCTATATAATTTTATAACTTTCTAACATTTTTTACAAATTGGAACATTTCTCAAAAAATCTATATCTTTTTTCAAAATTTTTCATATATGTTAATTATGAAATATTATAATATAAGATTTCTAAGATTTTTTATAAGTATAATTTTTGAAATGTTATAAAATTTAAAAAATTTGAAAATATTTTTTAAAAATTATGGGAAAATTTTAGAATATTTCAGAATTCACTTGTATGAAAAATTTTAAAAGAAGATATAAACTTTAATATCTGAGTATTTTTGAAATATGTTTTAATTCGTATAAAAATTATGAGAAAAATTTTCACCAAAGTATCGAAAAAAATTACGCATTTAAATCCTCATAAAATGCATTATATTAAATGTTTCTTTTATATAATTTATTTTGATCTCATTTTATAGCCTGGTGATTTAATAAGATGGAAACAAGTGGCGGCCAGATTCAGCGAATTAATTACGGAAGCCGCTGCGCAACTCCATCGCGATGTACAACATAATATTTATTCGGAAACTATAAATTCCACGACGAGTTATATCGATGTAAGAGACTTTTACTGGAAAAACAATTAAAAAAATCCATTAACATTTCCTTAACTTAAATTTGAGTCATGTTTAATTTAATGTAATTGTCTTCGTCTTAGAATAGTTTTTTTATGAAAAATAATTTTTTTATGTAAAAAATAACCGTTAAATGTAAAAATAACGTAATAAAAAAAATAACCGTTATCATCGTATTATGCATTTTTAGACAGCTTCGACTTCACAAGAGGAAGATGAAGAATTAACGAGATGGCAAGAGTTTTCATTGTTGTATCCTTTTATTCGACTTAGAGATCATTTTAATATTTGTAAGATATTATTAATTTTTATTTCACTAATATGTAGGTATCTACTATTATTTCGTAAAGTATATATGATTATTTTAATCTTTTTTTTATTATTAAGATTCTGATTAGTCACCACAACCATATTGAATCGTGATATCACAGAGAAATGATACATTAATTTTTGTTATTTGCCATTTGTAAA